CAGCGTCCTCTCGGCGGCGCGGCCGGTCAGTGTCCCTTGTGCGGGTACCCAGTCTGTGTGGGTGCACGCGTGCAGAGTGCCCACCGTGGGGCTCTGGGAGTGGTGGTGCTCCTCGTGGTTGAGGTGCTGTGTTGACGCTGTGAGGTCGCTCAGGTGCCATTGCTGCGTTGGCAGAGCTGCCACCCCTGGTTTGGCCCCCAGCTGGGAAGTGCGCTGGGAGCGAGAGCACGTGGAGGCCTTTCGGGGGACCAGCATGCCAGGTGCCATCGGTTCCTTAACTGCCTGCGGCCTGCCCGTCTTCAACGTGACTCTGGCTTCAGCCCTCCCCATGCAAATCTCCCTGAGGGGAGAAGTGGTTCATGGCACTTAAAAAAATCAAAGGCAACACAATTAAGATAACACAGAATATCAATCGATGTTATTCTCCATGTGCTCTTAGATATTTATTTTTATATATATATATATATATATTTAATAGACTGTGCTTGCTGCATCAGGATTACCCTAAGAAACTGGGGGGCCTCGGTGCAGTTTTCAGAGTAGCTAGTGACCAGCTACCTATATCCTTGAACGTTTGTTCTGGCTAGTTCTCTTGTCATTCCCTTTTTGATTATATTGCCAATAGCTGTGACTTTCCTGCCTACAGTCAAAATAGAACAGGAAACCTGCCAGAAAGTCATTGGAGCTGCTGGGCAGTCAAGGTAAAAAAGATCACTCAGAGGAGATAAGGTTCTAGAAAAGAAATTATTTTTTTTCTGTGTTCACTGTAGAGAAACTTAACAAGATTCTCATGCTTATATGCTGTTTTATGAGGGATTTATCAGGGGGTATGTCTGAAGTTAGAGTGTTTGTAGGAAAGCTTATGAAAGAAGGAGATAAAATGAAAAGTGTGCAGATCAGATGATACTCGCCCAAGAGTCCCAGGGGAGATAATGGTTTAAATTGCTGAACTACTAGTCATCATATGTGGCATATCACCTTAGAGGTGATTTGATAGGAGACAGTGGGAAAGCAGTTAAGAAGTCAATAATAAAGACTAGAAAAGTTCTTGTAAGCTATTGGTCAATAACTTTATCAGGTAAGTTAGTGAAAACTCTTTGAAGAAGAGAACTAGCAGGCACAGACAAGGGATGTACTGAAAGAATCCTAGCGTACTGGGAGAACCAGCAGTGTTTCTCTGAGGAGACATTGTGGGAAGTCCTGGGAGGGGGCAGCAAGCATGTGGACAAGAAAGATTCAGGCCACATACTCTACGTGGGTTTCCAAGGAGCATTCAACAAGGTTTCTCAGCAAAAGCTTCAGAGAAAACTAAGTTGTCATGGGGTAAGAGCAAAAGTTTTCATCTGGGTAGATGACACTGGGAAGGCAAAAGATGGAGCAAAAAATCCATGGAAAGAACCAGTATGTGAATTTCTACAAAAATCTGTACTGACTTTACAGTATAAAGTGAATTGATGATGAAATTCAGTGTAGATAAGTGTTTCACACAGGAGAAAAGCAATCCAAACTTCATTATATAAAGAAATGGCACCAAGTGAAACTCGGGGAAAGGTGGGCTTGAAAACAGATCCCATGAGGTTATTTATCAGATGGCATGGCTGACGGATGGAAAACATTTTCCCATGATTTTGTAGTTGTTAGAAGTTTTGAGTTCAACAGAAATCTTAAAAAATGGAAGAAAAAACTACTGAGGACTGTTAAATCGGCGGACACCTGTGCTGGCTCAGGGCATGGTAAGGTTGCACATTCCTGGAGCATTGGGGAATATTCTGAGGAAGCAGCGCTGCGTTGTTCCCTCGCTCTTGCAGCCTGCTCGACGTGGTCCTTATCAGCCACAGTCAGGAGACAGGAAAGTGGTAAAAGAGAGTCTGTGCCTGGCCATGTATGGCTATTCTTATGTTCTTCCCAAGTACTTAGCTAAACTTTGGCTCTTACTCTGTGGTTCCTTATTGAGATAGTATTTGAAAGTTGTTTAAGTTACCCTGAGATGTGATTGCTTATGTCCATGCTTCTCTTCCATTTAGATCTTTTGCTGATAAGGTTGTTCTTTGGCCCTGTTTCCTGAAAATTTTCCACGTATGTTAGGTGTGCTGGTAAATTGGGGAAATGCTGAAGTGAAACTCAAAAAAAAAAAAAAAAAAAAAAAAAAAAAAGTCCCATTTCCTCCTTATCTTCCTTTAGTTTTCCCATCTGATGAGTCAATTCCAATAAAGCAAAGAGAGAGGGAATTTTATCTTGTGTTTTCATCATGGGAATATGATACCTGTTATTTCAGTGGTGAATCCAAGATCAAAAAAAAAAAAAAAAAAAAAAAAAAAAAAAAAAAAAACTCATTCTTTTGACTGGGAAAAGGCGGATGTCCACAAGGGACCTAGATATTATATCAACAGGATATCACAGGAAAACAAAAGAAGGTCGTAACTAACACGTGGACAAAGGATCTCTGTTGTTTCCGATTATGGAGCCTGTTATGCCTTTTTTCTTTTTTTTCTTCTCTCTCCACATCTTTGGTCTGCAGAACAACAGCTTTTCAGCTCCTCTTCGCTGACTGTGTTCGAATTCTGTTTTTATACAGATGTTTTGTGCCTTCATCCCATTGGCCAAAGATAACCGCTGCAACTTTAAAGGAGTCATTTTAATTCCGATTTCATTGCATCTTCTTTTTGGGTAAGGCTCTAGACCCTTTTAGATTGCTGTCTTGAATTTTCCCATGCTAGGGGAACAAGGGAAGTGAAACAACCTCATAATGTAGTATTTATTTGGTTTTGTTTGCAAAATGAAGCATTTGTTTAGAATGTGTAACACAGTATTACAGAGGCCATAAAATACAATGGCAGTCTCAGTCCTAAAGTGTATAGTTTATAATGTATCAAGTTCATGTATGACCAGGTAATAGTCATTTTTAAGTAAAATACTTAAGTGGACGGTGAAGTATTCT